TCATATGCTACGCCGCCTACATAAATGGTTTTTTATACGGCTGTAGACCACTCTTATTTTTGGATGGTACCTTTCTTAAAGATCGATTCAAAGGCATACTCCTAAGCGCCGTAGCATATGATGGAAATCAGGGGATATTTCCATTGGCGTATTGTATATGCGATCAGGAAAATAATGTTAACTGGAAGTGGTTCTTACAAGGTTAGTTCTATCCCTAGCCATGTTAGTTCTGTTGCAGGTTATGATAATTCTAGCTCATTCATTGCTAACTCTAATTCGTGTATGGTAACCACAACTCTTTGTAGGTTTGTGGTCTATTCTCTATGAAAGGCCAGATCCATACAACCCTCCACACAAGCTAGTGATAATTTCAGATGCGGATAAGGGGATCAGAGAAGCAGTTAGAGAATTTTTTCCAGATTCTATACACTCTCGATGTGTGTTGCATCTAGTTGAGAACTTCAGGACAAAGTTGAAGGATTTGGGATTCAAATCAAAAGATACTCAGATCTTGGGTAATCTATTGCAATCTGCCTGTTACAAATATACTAGAGCAGAATGGAACGATTACATAGACGACATTAGACTGGTTGACGAAAGAGCTTACAATATTGTGATGAAGTACGCTCCAAAGAACTGGGCCAATGCGTTTTTCCCTGGAGTTAGGTAAGTTATAAGCTTTTTCATTACATGACTATTATAAGCCGCTTGACGAATTCCCTATTATGTTTCAGATATGGTCACGTTACATCAAATGTTGCAGAGTCATTCAACAAATGGATACATGAGGCTAGGCTACTACGGATACTTCAACTGGTAGAGCACATACGTAAACAGATTATGGTTCGTATGAATGAGCGACGAACCATGGCTGAAAGCTGGAATCAATTTCTTTGCCCCAAAGCTGAACTTGCTCTCAAAGAGAACATGGAAAATGGCCGTCCATTGGAGGTTCGTCAGTCCCACACAGGATTATTTGAGGTACAATCCCATAGATCTTGTCAAGTGGATCTAGACAATAAAACATGCACTTGCCGTGGGTGGGATGTAACCCGTGTCCCTTGCAAACATGCATGCGCATCCATTATGTTTATGAAAAGGGATGTCTACCAGTTCTGTGACTGGTTTACGATGGTTGAAGCCTTTAAAAAAAGCTACGAGCCAATCCTCTACCCAATCCCTGACTTTAAGAAGCGCATCGTGCCAAGGGATGAGATACAGATCCTACCTCCACTTACACGCAGCCAGTAAAATGTTCTCGATGTCATATGGAAGGTCATAACCGTAAAACATGTAATGAATCTATAGCTGACTAAGTGTTTGATATGTTGAAGTGGTTTCGTCCCAGTATGCAATAAATATTTTTTTTTTCCGATTGAATGTTTATTCTTGTTAATCGGGAACAAACATCAGCTTCCACTAGATAAAAAGTTGTAAGTAACAAAACAACTATCATATTAGGCCTAACGCGCACAAAGAATAGAACTAACATCCTATTTATTCAATGCACTGGAATAACTAGGAGTAACAAGCCAAAGAATAGAACTAACTTGGTATCAGATAGTACTAACATGTAATGAAGCAGAACTGACTTGGATCGGAACAGGTTACATAATAGAACTAACACTGTGAAGATTAGAACTAACACGCTACAGAATAGAACTAACACTGTGAAGATTAGAACTAACACGCTACAGAATAGAACTAACACTGTGCAAATTAGAACTAACACTCTACAGAATAGAACTAACACTCTACAGAATAGAACTAACACTCTACAGATTAGAACTAACACTGTGCAGATTAGAACTAACACTCTATAGAACAGAACTAACATTGTGGAGATTAGAACTAACACTCTACAGAATAGAACTAACGTTCTACAGAATAGAACTAACACTGTGCAGAACAGAACTAACTTGCTATAAATTAGAACTAACTTGGTATAAAATGAGAACAAACTTTGTTTAAATTAGAACTATCTTTGTATAAATTAGATCTAACGTTGTATAAAATAGAACTAACTTGGTATAAATTAGATCTAACGTGGTATAAATTAGGTTTATAACGTAGTAAAAAATAGAACTAACTTGGTATAAATTAGAGCTAACGTGGTATAAATTAGGTTTACTTGTTATAAATTAGAAATAACTTGGTATAAAATGAGATATAACGTGGTATAAATTAGGTTTATAACTTGGCATAAAATAGAACTAATATAAATTAGATATAACGTGGTATAAATTAGATATAACGTGTAATAAAATAGAACTAACAAGCCATCACAAGCTACAGATTAGAACGAACACTGTGCAGAATAGAACTAACACTCTACAGATTAGAACTAACACTGTGCAGATTAGAACTAACACTCTACAGAATAGAACTAACACTGTGCAGATTAGAACTAACACTCTACAGAACAGAACTAACACTGTGCAGAATAGAACTAACACTCTACAGATTAGAACTAACACTGTGCAGATTAGAACTAACACTCTACAGAATAGAACTAACACTGTGCAGATTAGAACTAACACTCTACAGAATAGAACTAACACTGTGCAGATTAGAACTAACACTCTACAGAATAGAACTAACACTGTGCAGATTAGAACTAACACTCTACAGAATAGAACTAACACTGTGCAGATTAGAACTAACACTCTACAGAACAGAAATAACTTGGTATAAATTAGAACTAACTTGGTATAAAATGAGAACAAACTTGGTATAAAATAGAACTAACTTTGTATAAATTAGATCTAACATTGTATAAAATAGAACTAACTTGGTATAAATTAGGTTTATAACGTTGTAAAAAATAGAACTATCTTGGTATAAATTAGAGCTAACGTGGTATAAATTAGATATAACGTGGTATAAATTAGGTTTATAACGTGATATAAAATAGAACTAACTTGGTATAAATTAGTAAATTAGATCTAACGTGGTATAAATGAGATATAACGTGGTATAAATTAGGTTTATAACTTGGTATAAAATAAAACTAACACAAATTAGATATAACGTGGTATAAATTAGATATAAATTAGGTTTATAACGTGGTATAAAATAGAACTAACTTGGTATAAATTAGAAATAACTTGGTATAAAATGAGATATAACGTGGTATAAATTAGGTTTATAACTTGGCATAAAATAGAACTAACTTGGTATAAATTAGTAAATTAGATCTAACGTGGTATAAATGAGATATAACGTGGTATAAATTAGGTTTATAACTTGGCATAAAATAGAACTAACATAAATTAGATATATAACGTGGTATAAATTAGATATAACGTGTAATAAAATAGAACTAACAAGCCATCACAAGCTACAGATTAGAACTAACACTGTGCAGAATAGAACTAACACTCTACAGATTAGAACTAACACTGTGCAGATTAGAACTAACACTCTACAGAACAGAACTAATACTGTGCAGATTAGAACTAACACTCTACAGAACAGAACTAACACTGTGCAGATTAGAACTAACTTGGTATAAATTAGAACTAACTTGGTATAAATTAGAACTAACTTGGTATAAATTAGAACTAACTTGGTATAAAATGAGAACAAAGCAAAATTTAACAAGAAAAAACACGCAATGATGCCAGGTCTTCATTTGTTGCTGCCCTCGCTGGATCGGTTTGGGTCTAATAAACCCTTTTCGCTGTCACTCGCCTTCCTTTTCGAAGGTCCTAGCTTACTGCGTTTTGAGGAAGGAGAACTGGATCCCGCTGAGCCACTGTGGGAGACGACGGGATTTAAAGGGAGAGGAACATTGCTGGTAGGGAGAGCCCTTGGAGAATTGGCACCCCCGACCCCTTGGTTACGGAGAAACAGCTGCCATTGGTCTCTCTCGACCGTCATGTGGACGCCACCCCAACTAACCTCAATTAACTCGGGGTCGGCCCTAAAGGGCTGCGCACGCTGGGGCCCTAAGTTGAGTCGTGTGGATCCCTGAGCCCTCTCCAAATCCCCCCCGCTTTGGACCTGCGTGATGGCGTATCCTTCCCTGGCGTTACCGTCCACCGGCGAGATGTAACGGAACCCAAGCCTCTTAGGGATTTCAGATAAATCCCTAACCTTGAGTAGAACTCTACAGTCTTTGAAGTTAGAATGTGTTATGACGTCCCTGGAGCACATGACACATTCACCGATACCAATGAACAGAGATTGAAGAAATTCAAAATTCCAGAGGTGGTATGAGAGATTGAATAGGCGAATCCATACTAGAAAGGGTTGAGGCAATATTGTTAGCCTCAGATCCTCTTTCCAACGGCGGAATCTGCCCTTAAATGTGCCCATATCTATCAAACCGAGTTCAATAGATTGGGTAAGAACTTCATCGGATGGAAACTGCACCATGAAGTTGTTCCCTGCCGCCTCCTTGATTTGATGGGGCCATGTCCTATGATTGAAGCAGTAGGCCAGCATCTCTCGGAGCTCCTGCACCGATGGACGGCCTCTATCAAGATTGAAGATGGCGAAAGCAGAAAGATGCCGTATGGTGCTGGAGGTGTTGGCCGGGACGGTAAGCATCCTCGGAGGGGCACTTGCGGTAATTCCATGATGACAATCTCGAGTGCTGTGTCCTGTCCCATGGCAGTGTACACAAGAAGGATCCCCAGCCATTTGTGAGGGTATACGATGAAAATAGATGACGCTGGGTTGTGGTTTTTAGCAGGGGGAGGGGTTTGCAGAGGCGCCTACGCTGGGGCCAGTAGAAGAAAGGTGGTGACCGTACCTATCGATGGAAGTTCGTATTAGGTATTTAAGTTAATTAATTTATTTAACTGACTTGGGAACATGCGAATATATGATGTGACATGTTTGTGTGATGGAACCGTCGCTTCGAAAGAAGTGAGCAGCTGGAGGTTTGAAGATAACTTAAATAATTAAAAAATTAGAACTGGCTCTAAGATAGAACTAACGAGCATGGTACAGAATAGAACTAACGTTGAATGAGTAGAACTAACGAGCATCACTAGAACGAACATGGTACAGATAGAACAATACATCTGATAACAATCATTTTCAATTACTTAAATATACATACATTATTGTATTTGTATGAACATATCATTCATCACTGTACACTGTTTCTTCTTTATGTCTTTGTTCAAAACCAGCCAGTAATAATTGTGCGGCAAGTCTTGCTCGCATAGCTTCAGGGATATCGTTCGGAGGATTAACCAGCAATGTTGATCGTCCTTCAATTATGGATTTTACAAAGAGGTAGACGAACACACCACAGTCAAAGCTGCAACATAGAGTGAGTTCATTAGACATTTTCGGTCCGTTCGAATACTATAACACAAATTTGAACAATATAGACATCGGAACTAACCGTCCTCTTTGTTGCTCGCATTTGATGGCTTGATATCTAAATATTTGGCGCACATTGTCTTCAATAAAATCAGCATGATGGGCATCAAAGAAGTTTATGATTTTATTAACAGGCTCCATCCAAGCTTCGTGCCCAGCGGAGCTGTAATGCTTGACGACTTTATCTTTAAGGTCAACTTCTACAAGATGCCAATGGTCGTCCCTGACCAAAGGGATCAAGAGATGCTCTATGCGGAATACGGTATATTTGTCAATGAAGTTCAAATAAAGCTCGTAATTGTTCACCTCCAAGCCATGGAGTGAGTGCTGCAAACACATCATGTTTGAGTTGAAATTAAAACAAACATGAGCTGCGAAGGCTAACTAACACCGTATTAATTAGAACTAACACGCTACAGAATAGAACTAACACTGTACAGAATAGAACTAACACGCTACAGAATAGAACTAATGTTCTACAGAATAGAACTAACACTGTGCAGACTAGAACTAACACTCTACAGAATAGAACTAACACTGTGCAGATTAGAACTAACACTCTACAGAATAGAACTAACACTCTACAGAATAGAACTAACACTCTAAAGAACGGAACTAACATGACTTATGGTAGGTCTAATTTGATGCTAACTAGAACTAACGTGACTCATGGTATAACTAGCATGGATTACACAAGATCTAACATGAATTTTAATCAAAACTAACGTGGTGAAATTAGGAATAGCATGTTCTTACAAGAAAAAACACCGATACCACTCCATATCCTTTGTCGTATGCCTCCTGGCTAATCGTGTCCAAAACTGCTTCTTCCACCTGTAATTGTTATGAAACATTAAAATTCAATTTAAACAATATAATTTGAATTATTAAGGAAGTATATGTTAACCTTGTCGTCAAGGCGGCCACCACGAAGCACATATAACAACTCTTCCCTGTTAATAGTGCTGTTGGTTGTTACTATAACATTATATCTCCTGGTATAAATTAGAACTAACATGAATTAGAACTAATATGTGGAGAATTAGCATATAAATAGTCAACTGAAACTTACTTGTGAATCTTCTGAGAACAAAATTTGGTTAGGCTATCAATTTCAGCTTTGTCGAGTCTTTCTGCTATGGGAGATGGTATCTTTAAATTATGTACAAAAGCACCTGTGCTATCTATTATGCGTAAGTTAAACAATGTAGGGTCTGGTAGCTCATTATTCAGCTCTCCCAATAGAGCTTCCTCTTCATCTGTCATTGGCTTCAAACTCAACGCAACAAAATTGGGGATTTGAATACCGGGGTAAAAATGAGTAACTTTTTCAGCTAGTTTTACTTTTGGTTCAAGACTTTCAAGTATATCTATACTAATTTTTTCCTTTTTCTTTCTTTTGCCTTCAGTATATGGTGTCCTCTTCCATTTAGATCTCCTGCTTACCCTTCTTGGCTTTGGTGGGCGCTTTGCTTCCACATTGCTCGTTAGAACATCTACAAGTTTGTCCACATCATGTTTAATATTCACAAGATCCTCTTCCTCCTGTACTTCCAACTTATCTACATTCTCCTTCTCTTTATCTACAATATATTACTCCTTATCTACACCATCAACAGTATCCTCATCAAAACCTTTGTTATCTACAATAAAATTTTCATTTTCCATATGCTCCTCTTCCTTATCTACCATATGATCTTATTCCTTATCTATCATATGCTCCTCTTCCTTATCTACCATACGCTCCTCTTCCTTATCTACAATATCTTCCATATGCTCCTCTTCCTTATCTACCATATGCTCCTCTTCCATATCTACAATATGTTCCATATGCTCCTCTTCCTTATTTACACTATCCTCAACATGCTCCTCTTCCTTATTTACACTATCATCAACCTTAGTATCTACAGTCTGGTCAACCTTACTATATACCCCCTCCCCTGGAGAAGTAACTGGCTCCTCTTCTATTGCCTCATCGTCAGCAAGATGCTTTACATCCTCTTCAACAATCTTATGTACATGTTCTTGACTGGTGGGCTCTTCCTTATATACACTGCTTGTTTTGGACTTCTGTTCCTCTTGAGCTCCCTGTCGCTTCTTCCTAATTTCATTTGCAATTTTCTGTTTGATATTTGACTTAAGCAGCACTGGGTCTATAACCTCATCATGTCTTCCACATTTTTCAATTATCCTGTTAAGCCTGTTGATCTCAATCATGAATTCTTTACAATATTTGCTCTTGGTCTGCTTTGTAGCATCAAGAAGTCGCTTGAGAAATTTAGCAGAATTTCTCCAAAATGTGAGTTGCTGCTCAATGGGAAGAACATTGATCTCCTCTTCATCGTCAAAAGCAACGTCAATATGCTTTGCCATGATCTGTTATTGATACAAGATTATAATTTTAAGTAGGATTAAACATAATTAGGATATTCTTTGCAGTTAGTGTGAAATGAGTACGACTTAACATAACAGGATACTTACGTAACCTATTGAGAAGTTCTTAGTAGTTTCTTCCTGCAAAGTCTTCCTCTTTGCCTGACGCTTTTGCTGAAGAACTTCATCCCTTTGTTCAGCGGGAAGTGGATGAACATGACCAGGAGAAGCGACCTCCGCAATAGGCCTATGGACAAATGTTATTGACGCTGACTTAGCCTTTGAAATAATTGTCGGCATCCTCATAGATGCGATTCTCTCCTCCCCTGATGCCCAATTTGTCATTAGAGGTCTGGAGGTGTCTAAGAGGGCATATTTCTTTATGCCTGTCATTTCGTAGTACTAAAGCTGTACCAAATAATATATTTGCCATTAACATTTAATACTAGACTAGACCAAAGAGAATAAAATATGGCTGCATCTAGAACTAACATGGTGTAAATTAGAACAGAACAGAACAGAACTAACACTCTACAGAATAGAACTAACACTCTACAGAATAGAACTAACACTGAGCAGATTAGAACTAACACTCTACAGAATAGAACTAACATTGTGCAGATTAGAACTAACACTCTACATAATAGAACTAAGATTGTGCAGATTAGAACTAACACTCTACAGAATAGAACTAACACTGTGTTAGTTCTATTCTGTAGAGTGTTAGTTCTATTCTGCACAGTGTTAGTTCTATTTTGTAGAGTGTTAGTTCTAATCTGCACAGTGTTAGTTCTATTCTGTAGAGTGTTAGTTCTATTCTGCAGCGTGTTAGTTCTAATCTGTCTGTAGCGTGTGAGTTCTAATCTGCAGATTAGAACTAACACTCTACAGAACGGAACTAACACTGTGCAGATTAGAACTAACACGCTACAGAATAGAACTAATATAGAATAAGTTAGAACTAACAATGCATAGGTACGAATTAGAATGAAACAAGATCAGTAAAATATGGAACTTACACACAATAGTGTCATGCAACCTGGGACATATGCGACCTTTTGCTTCTTCTTTCCCTCCAAAGCAACTCGAATGCCCCTGATAATTTCATTATAAAAGAACGGGGCCCATGCAACAGAATTGACCCTCTGAATGCTATCCAGGTACCTGAGTAAGGGTCTAAGGATACCTTCCCCTGCTATTAGACTTCATATCATAGAGCATTGGTACAAAATTTGTAGCAGAGCAAAATCCTCGATATCCCGCTTTTTGGTAGATTCAACAAGCCGTTCAAGTAGCCCTTCAAGATGTTTACGTTGGCTGGTTTCTGATTTTTTTAACTTCTTACCCAAGCTTAGCGAAGTATTCTGTAGGCATATAAAATTGCTTATAGGTCCCTTGACACGGTTCAACACGAACTAATGAACCATCAGGCGACGTATCTAAGCACGAACGTCAGTCCACAACACCGAAGCCAAGTGACACGCAACGAAGCGGATTAACAAGGCTACGAAGCTGACGAACCACACGTGAATGACGGAATGAATCCACTCGCGTGCGGAATCAAATCAACGGTCCAGAGAGTCAACGAATCAATTTCAGATCAATCAACTGCATAACCGAATCACGGACGAAGCGGATACAAGAACCGAAACAACCGAACGACGGACGCAAAACCCGGAGTGGCTCGGCCAAGGCCGAGCCACCCTGGGGTGGCTCGGCAGCCGCCGAGCCACCCTGAGGTGGCCACCCAGATCTGTGCCAAATGCACAGATCTGGTTGCCTATAAATAGGCGGGGTCATTCATCATTTTGGAGGACTTTTGGAAGAACTTTTGGAGAGCCGAAACTCTGCCGGATTGAGACCTCATCTCAGAGTTTTTGAAGGCTTGAAGACTTAAACGTTCAGATCTGATTCTCGGCGAGCACCCGCATCACAAAAAAGGCAGGAGTTTGAGGGGATCAAGATCTCAGATCTACGTTGTTACACTCCGGATCAAAGCTTGGTCTTTGATCCCGAGATTCGAGCGATTGTTTCCTTAGTGAAATAATCCCTCCGGCTATTATTTCCTTGGTGAAGTAATACCCGTTATACTGCTTAGATCTGTCTGGATCTAGATCGCACGGTGGTCCACGGCAAACAACCCCGGCGCAGGCAAACAACCCACCAAAGCGAGTGACCGAATAACAGGAGCTCGTGATTTGTTCACAAGGAGAAAAAGTTGTAATTTTTAATTTTCTTTATTTTTGATTTTCATTGTAACCGGATCTAAAAAAGACCGGATCTTTTGTAACCGAAAAACTGTTATTCAAGATAGCAATGACATCAATGAAGAAAGCAACGATTTTCCCCGCGACCAATCTTTTGATACCCCCTCCAAAGTTTTCCAGTCTCGCTCTTTTATAGAAGAGTCTGGAATACTTTGGATATGACTGTCCCAACCTTCAATCGGTGTAACGGGCTCTTGGAATAGCTTCTATTCTCTATTCCTTCAATCCTCCAGGCTATTCGGTGCTTGAGAGGGTTCCGGTGCTGCATTTATTGTCTGACCGTTTGTCGGAATTTTGAATTTGAAGTCGAT